CTCGGGGGAGTGGGCACATGTCGGCACATGACGAGGAGGAAGATCAACTTCATTCACAATTAAGCTAAAAATACAAGCCCCCCAGTTCGCGGGATATAATTTATTGTCAAGTGCAGAGTCACAGCATTCAAGATGTGTAACAGTCGCAGTCACAGTCGAAATAATTGGGCAGCGGGGAGGCCAACGAAAAAAAAGTGAGGAGAAGAAATAAAGTCTGGATCAGGTCTAGGTGTAACAAAGGGAGAGACTCTGGGAAATACGCAAAAATGGGGGATGGATGGAGGTGGAGTCACGCTGTCGCTCACAGAAAAATACAGGAGAAGTGGAAAACGCAGAGGGCCGGGCAAATCAACAACGCAATCTTAATGAAGGCAATAATTCAAACAAAATGCAAAATTCCCTTGGCAAACTCTGAGGGAAGTCACGGCGAGTCACTCCACAGCGAAGACAGCGCTGAAAAATTGCCGCCCAAGAAATAATTCCTGGTTGAAATTAAATTTTTACAAAATCAAATAAAATCCAGAGTGTGGCAGTCACTCACTCACTCACTCACCAAATTCAATTCCCTGGGCTCCCTTTTCGGTCGATCCTCCCTCGATATTCCTCTTATTAATTAGTTTGTATATTTTTGGCACACGAAGCGCAACACGAAATTGTTTAACATTTTATCCCCGGCACATTAAGTGGCAACATTTGTCAATTTGTTTTCGGTTGTAATTTTTGGGCCCAAAGCGGGCGGGTCACCACTCTCCAATTCTCGGACTCTTGGGCGTTTTGTGTGTAGTTAATGGCCAAACATTTGCCTAAATAATGAGGCACCGGTGTATTGCTTTGAATTCGATTTGGCTTGATTAAAAATATATTTCATTGTCGAGACCCGTTGCCTGTTTAAGTGGGTCGTCGTTGGGCAGTGGGTGGATTGGATCGCAGGCGATTGCATTAACTTCACGAGAAACAACAGCTGAGAAGCTAATCAGGCAAATGTGGCACAGTTTTCGGTAAGGTGAATTCATTAGTACCCGAGTAATACGATGGATACGTGTAGTCTGGGGGGCTGGACAACTGACTGAAGTGGAGTCGTAAGCCAGATGGCATTGAGTAATGCCTTTTCGGATAGAAAAACATTGGGAAATTCCGAAAAATTTGAAAGTAAAATGGGGAAAACTTGTCATGCATTATTCACAATTTACAAAAGAAATTAAGTTACTGACTGAAAAACAATTCCTAAAATTGCTTGATTTTATTTCTCCTTTTTTATGTCTATTTGATAAATACATTAAATTTAATTTATTATTTTTAAAGCAATCTTTATTATTACAATATTTCTAATATTACAACAATAATATTTACTTGCCATAACTTTCCATTGGTTCAATTCCATTTGATAAACATTGTATATTCCAATCCAATCCGCTCCAATGTTTACTGAAATCTAGCTCGCTGCATAATTAAAAGTGCGGAAAAAGTGGAAAATGAAAACGCTCGCTATTTCCTGTCGCCCTGCAATGCAATTTTCACTTTTTTTTCCGTGTCGCTCCGTTTTCTCATTTTGTCAAATAGCCTCGAGGCGGTAGAAAGAAGGCATAGCTCAGTCGGCAGGGCAAACTTTCGAAATTTAACGCCGGGCACAATGGGGCAGCAAACCAGGAGCAGAGCAACCAGGAGGAGGAATCATCGCTGGCTGCCAGCCGCAGTGGCGGAGAACAATTACTACGGGGTTTTTCGTTTTTCGGTCTTATGCAAACAGGAAACGCATAATGAACAAAGTCCGAACGAGCCGAGGAGTCACACCACTCACTTGGCCGGAGAATGGAGCCACGCGACTCTGGGCTTTTCAACTCCAGCTCCTTCATCCATTCATTCATTCATTTTTGAGCGGTTTCGTGGTTAACAACCGCTTCCTTATCCTTATTATTTTAATGCCTGCGGCAGCATTCCATCTTACTTACATTTTTCTCCTCGCTGTTGTGGCTTAAATATTTTAACTACTGCCAGCTACTAGTTGGCTGTCTGTCTGGGCCGGGCCGGGTCTTTGTGCCCGTAATTGGGGTTAACTGCGTTCAGCAGGTGAGGAGCTGAGGAGTCCGGAGTCGGCATTGTGTGTCCAAAGTGTGCCAAAAGGAAAAGTACAATTTTTCTGCCGCACTTATAAATTGTCCGTGCTGGAGTTTAAATTTGGTCTTCCATTGCTTTCCTTTTCATTTATTTTTCATTTTTTATTTTACACCCATTTAGCTTGGGGGCCGGCAATTAACTGCAATTGAAAGTGAAATTGAATTTGTGAAGCCGAAATAGACGGTGTGCTTTTGACAGAGTGTCAGAGTTGACACGCATGTTGAGAAAATTCAATTAAAAATTTTATACTGCAATCGTCCCGCTGTCTCTCACTCTGTTTGGGTTTTTCGCCAACTCATCGTCGATTCAGTTGATAATTATTTTTACGCGCCGAGTTGTAGGGTAAAGTGCATTAAAAATGCAAATGGCAACACTTTGCCACTTTGATGCCAGTGTTGCCAGTGTTGTCACGTTTGCCGTTTTATTAATTTATTAAATTAAAAACAACGCAAAAGGAGGCAACAGCGCACCGCCGGCTCCACTCGGGCATGTGTAATTGTAAATTTATGAGCGTGCCACAAATAAAAAGGAGGGCCGGTACTACAGTACATTAAAAAAAAGGAAGAAAAAATTAAAAAAGGACCAACCAACCAACGGCAGGGCCAACGAGTTCAACTGGGGCGCACTGTCAATCGTGTTGCATGAATTATTAATTATTTGCTTTTCGCACACACATCCCGATAAAGGGACAGCGCGAGTCCAACAGCGCGGATACAAAAATATACGGCGGCAGTGTTGCAATGCGGCAATCGGCTGTCAACTCCGCCACTTTGACAAGGGAAACACTAATAAAATTATTAACCAAAATGGCAAAAAAATAAGAAATTCGTTACGTTACTGATTGGCAATAAAAAGAGAGACCGAAATTAGTTTAATCTAATTACCTGTCACGCTTTATTGTCTTTAGCATAACGAAATGGATTTTGGTAAATAAAAAGTCAATGCCTAGGATTTTTACAAAGCCAAAAAAAAGAAATAAAAAAAATTGGGAAAAGAAAGATGTATTTTTGGGTGGGTAGGTAATGTGAGCGTCCAACCCCGGGGACCCACGCAGCATTCCCAACTCTCCACCCCTGGCCGCCGCCTTATTTATCCTGCGTTTTCCCCCGGGGACACGGGCCACGGCATTTTCCTTGGCTCTCTGTGAATTATTCAGGCCTTCAATCGATGGCCGCCCGAGCATCTTCATTGCATACTATGCCATATATATATAGAGCACACGCCTCCCGCCCTTTTTTTCTTTTTCTATATCCCTCAGTGCTGCTGACAGTTTATTTGCCAAATTGCTTGCATGTAATATGAAACTTTTTTTCCCCGGTTTCGGGGCTAATTTTTAGTTCGGCAAGAGGAGGGATCCCAAAAAAAAAATGTCTCTGGGTGTGTGCTAAATCGAAAATCTGTAACACGCGTCACACAGCATTAAATGAGGAGGATGGCAGTACCAGGAGGTTTATGAGGCGGAGGGGGTTAGTCCACTAATACGGCATGACTCAACCGATTTCCACGTAAACTTTTATGACGGAGAGAGCTATCTTTGTTGGTTTATCTTCCTACTTGACTAAATATAAAAATATTTTATCCCTGTTAGTCTTTATTAAAAATGCCAAATTGCCATACTTTACTATTAAAAATTAAAAAAAAAACAAACCTTCTGTTACTTTTAAAAATATGTCAATAATTTAACATAAAATACATTTTTTTGGAAACTATATAGAACCTTTTCCGAGTGCATCTGCCGAACCCCTTTGTCCTGTGCGCTGACCATAATTCATGGAAAGTTTTAAATTTGAAAATCTGGCCGTGGAAAGGGGGAATAATGGAGGCAGAGCACAGTTATTGTTGCGTTATAAATCTAATTAGAATATGTGAGCGTTCGGGGCCCCGTATCTGAATATGCACGTAGACTAAACCAATTCCAACCCCCTGTCCCCTTGGCTAACCCCCTTTCCCGGGGCTCATTTCATATGCTCACCGCATCTGGCCGCATCTGAAAATTGCCAATGGCGCCGCTGCGTCTGGGGTAATAAATTTGATTTGTTTCAAATTACAGAAGAACGCAATTTCTTCTCGTTTTTTTCGGTTGCATTTTTCGGGCTGAGCCGGCAAATCGAATTGAATTTTTAAATCCTTGGTTCGAAAGCTGCGGTTGCTTTTTGTGGGCAATCTTCATAATTTACATAAGCAAATCAAATTGTAAACGTAATACGGAGACAAAGGAGGCGGGTCTGAGCCGACTTTTTGAATGGAACTATGTTGAGAGGATGGCGCAGATTTTCTCCTTTTATTTTCTCCTTGTTTACAGAAAAATGTGTCAGCTTTTTGCGAAAGCCTTCTTTGTTTTAGTCAATGCGTCAGGGAAATTTAGCTCAAGTGGTGAGTGGAGGAAGTTGAAAGGATTGCCACCCGGAAAAAGAGAGTGTGAAAACCCAGAGACGAAATAAAAAATCCTTTGAAGTGATAGTGTTCAATATGTGTGCCACTTTACGGTTTTCTTTTTGCCCAACACTACGAAACAATCGTTGGATGTCTTACCAACACTGCTGGTTCTACCCATTGAACTTTTACACATATGACAGGTAACTTTTTTTACTTGTGTGTGTCGTGATTAATCCTAGTGAAAATTGTGTAAAATTTCTGTACAAATTGTGGGAGAAATCGGAAAAAGAGGGCAATTTCGAAACAACAAATCACGTGTCAAGAAAATCGAAACTGTGGGGAGAACAAAATCAAAGGAATATATACAACCCATCTGAAGACATAATGCGGCCTTTAAGATCGGCACTTTAAGGTAGAAATAATACACACGACCTTTGAGCTTCCTTTATTGGCTATTTGTTTTTGGTCTTCTAGAGCCCCCTTTTCTAGTCACCCCAGAAGAATCCAGCCGAAAAAATTGAAACCCCTTCGCCTGGCGTTCAGTTTGCTGTCAACTCTTTGCTTACTAGGAGTGACAGATTAAGGTACCGGACACACAACATATTCTTTAGCAATCTGCGTTTGCGTACGCACATATATATAGATATATGTCGTTTGGATCGTGACTAGGCCGTATCGGTAGCAATGTCCACTGCTCTGGCAATGGCAGCAGCGGCACCATCGAGTGCCACGGCAGCAGCAGCAACAACGACGACCACTAGCAACACCACCACAAACACCACAGCGTCACCGGCAACAACCACCAGCACCACCGACACCGACACCACTTTGAACACCACCATTACCATGACCACACCGAAAGCCACACCAACGGAAGGATTAGGAGCACTGGAAGAACCAGCTCCAACTTTGCAAGCTGAGGAATCCAACAAGGATGAACCGAAACCACGGAGGGAGCGCAAGGCCACGGTGGTGCACACATGTCCCCGACCACCGGGCGGCTACAAGTACTCCATGGAGTTTCTCTACGGGATCGGCAGCGGAATGGCAGGCATTACGCTCAATATACCGACGCCTTCATCGATAACGCCGCGAACGGTGAGAACCACTGTTCCCCTGCTAACCACCCATATGCCCCTGTTAACTACGGTGGGCGTGGCATCGCCACGATCCGCAGCTGGCTGCAGTTCGTCGGGAATTCGTTATGTCGGTGCGACGGGAACGGCTGGAGGATCAGGAGCAGTAGCATCCTCAGCAGTGACTCCACCGGCAACGGGAGCCGAAGGAGTGGCCCAGTTCATCTACCAGGGTTACCTGCCAACGGGACCCCAGCGACGCCTGTGGCACACGGAAAACGCCGTCTGGCAGTTCGATCGGAACTATCCCTACAATCAGGCATATTCCTCGCAATACGGCATACCCATGATGCCGGTGGGCTTTGAGCATCCCTACGGCCAGCGGATCATATATCCGGGCTACTACAATCAGGCCACGGGCGGATTACATGCCGCTACGGTCCCGGGAATGCAGCGAACCAGTCGCCATGTCGCCCAGCAGCAGCAGCAGCAGCCACATGTGATGGCCCAACCGACGGCAGCATCAGTGGTGAGTGGCGAAGCTGGCGAGGAAGCCCCTCCGAGCCTGGGAAATGCTCCGCAGGTGAGCAGCCCCTGGCGCTACGGAAGACCGGGATCACACCGCGATCGCCTGGGATCGGGCAGACAGGGAGGAGTGCCCACGGCGGCGGGTTCAACGGTATTCCACAGGGATTCCAAGACCTTCTACAACAGCATCACCGGCGGAATGGGCGGAGGACCGCGATTCAAGGCGCCCTTTGTGGCTACTACTGCCCGTGGCTATCAAGGAGGAACAGGAGCAGGAGCAGCCGGAGGACCAACAACTGTAGTTGCTACAACAGGAGCAGCCAGCGAGCAGAATAATCGAAGCAATCAAGCGGCTGCTTCGACCAACAACAACTATTCCAGAAATCGTCACAATTCCAAGAGGGGCGGAAAGAATTCGGTGGGCAAGGAACAGACCTCGAACTCCTCGGGATCCCTGTCAAATTCCTCCTCGAAATCCCAACTGGATAAACCTCCCAGTTCGAGTACCTCGATTTCACCAAACAAGCATCCCAATCGCACCTACAGAAACCGAATGCGCTACAATTCCATAGAGGAGCAGAAAACCGTGACAATAGCAGCGCCACCTATCGGTAGTAACTACCAACCGCCACAACAGCCACAAAATACTGGACGTAGGGCTGCCAAGTTCCAGGGAGCAAATGCCTATCAAGGATCGCGTTTCTATCAATCCCGACACATGGATGGATATGTCTACCAACCGGGACACTACATGGTCTATGCACCCGGAACACCAGGAGTTTTGGGAGCAGCAGGAGTAGGAGGAGGAGGAGCAGTTCCAATGCCGGGAGTAGCAGGGGGAGCTGGTGGATTAGGAGGAGGAGCAGCAGCCACGGTCACGGCCAGCAGCGCCACCTCGGAGGGCGAGCAGCCGCTGGACTCGGACTTTGATCAGCGCCAGGAATATGCTGACTTGGGTCTGGATCCAGCCAATGGCGGCTTCTCCTCCGACCTGGAGCCGCCCGGCTTCAAGCAGGACACCTCCGAACTGGACGCCCGCTCTTGTCTGCTGTCGCATCCGAGTTCCGAGCCCGACGGCTTAAACGGCGATGGCGACGATGGCCACTCTTTGGCCAGCCTGGCTCCCAGTGTGGAGAGCGATGCGACCGAGAGCGAGCTCAGCGATGCCTCCGTGGAGTCGGTGGTGCGCAACATAATGGTCAGTTGCCTGGCCCTGGCCACCGGAGCCCAGGAGCCCGATCTGAGTGGTCCGAATCTGGTGCCCTACGGCGATATGCATCATCTCAGGGAGCTGGAGAGGAAGGGGCAACCTACCGGAGCGCCGACCAACGGGTACAGGTGCCACATGCAGTCGCATCATCATCCTTTCAGTCCCCGCGGAATGAGCTGCTGCGGCGATATGTTGAGTCAATGTCCGGACGATTTGGTCTACAAACTGGATCAGCTGCAGCAGGATGGCCTTGAAAATGGCAAGAGCCGCTTGAAGGAGATTGCCGAGGAGCCCGACAACATCTCGGTGGCCTCCAATCTCTCCTGCAGTCCCTCCGCCTGCTCCAGCAGAAGTGCCATGGCTCCCAAGGTCAATATCATCATGGTAGGTCATCTCGAATAGCGCCGATAATTGGCTATACCTTTTGAAAGAAGTTTTTTAGTTTCTATGTCCGTTTGTCTGATAGCTCACTTTATATGGCGCAATTGTTATACGATTTCTAGCACTCACTTTATGAAATAAATAATTTTTCCAAATTGAATATAATAAATTTTTTATATTAGTCATAAAGATTCTACACACAAAAAAAAAAGCAAAAAGTCGCCGTAACATCGATATGTGCATGTAAATTTTTGGTTATTCAAAACCCATATCGTTTTTACATGAAATACCCATATCAAGTTAAAATTGATATTACATACGTTTCTTAGCTATTTAGCTATTAGTAGCTATTTCACGTTATTAAATTTCAAAAACTAAAAGAAAAAAGTACCGTAAATCTTCGGTCACCGAAGAAAACACCGTTTCCTATGTTTTTTCAACCATTCCCAATCCTGATCCCCAAAGCCAGAAGAAGTAACCGAGGAAGAACTGCCCTTGGTGATTCACAATCGGTATTGGCGCGAATTCTTTGGTTATACGCCAGCGGATCGCTTCTTGCTCCGAGCCAAAATGGTGGAAATGAAGAGGCCACCGAAAACAGTGGCCAATAGAAACAAGTGGGAGCCCTTGTCCATTTCCATCTGGCGGAAGTTCCTCGAGGCGCAGCAGACGCGTCATGTTTACAAGACCAAGATGCGACTGTGGCGCTCCATTTACTCAATGGCCATGGTGAGTTGAGTTATGGTGAGGTATTTTCAATATAAGGCTAAAGTTTCTGGTTCTCCAACGTTATGCAGACAACATATCCAAGATATGGGCTTTACTTAGTAGGCTCCACCATCTCGTACTTTGGTTCCAAGTGCTCGGACATGGACATTTGCATGCTGGCCTGCACAAATCCGAACATGGATCCGCGCATGGAGGCCGTCTATCACCTGCAACTGATGAAGGAGCTGCTGAACCGCTCGAATATGTTCCAGGACTTTAATCTAATCGAGGCCCGGGTGCCCATACTGCGATTCACCGACCGACGGCACAAGGTGGAGGTGGACATCAACTTTAATAACTCCGTGGGAATCAGGAACACCCATCTCCTGTACTGCTATTCCCAGCTGGAGTGGCGCGTGCGCCCGATGGCCCTGACCGTCAAGCAGTGGGCCCAATATCACAACATCAACAATGCCAAGAACATGACCATTTCGAGCTATTCGCTCATGCTGATGGTCATTCACTACCTGCAGGTCGGCGCAAGTCCACCGGTACTTCCCTGCCTGCACAAGCTGTACCCGGAGAAGTTTGGACTCCTGCAGCCCAGCGACTTTGGGTACGTGGACATGAACGAGGTGATGGCGCCGTATCAGTCGGAGAACACCCAGTCCCTGGGTGAGCTGTTGCTGGGTTTCCTGCACTATTACAGTGGCTTCGAGTACGGAAAGTACGCCATCTCGATACGGGTGGGTGGTGTCCTGCCCGTGGAGGTTTGTCGGGCGGCCACGGCCCCCAAAAACGATATACACCAATGGAACGAGCTGTGCATCGAAGAGCCCTTCGATCAGACGAATACAGCACGGTCGGTGTACGATTCGGATACCTTTGAGCGCATCAGAGCCATCTTTATGGCCAGCTGCCGGCGTCTGGAGTCGACAAGGAATCTGAACTCTATATTCGAGGGCTACGACGGACCCACAATCCTGATGCAACAGCCCTCGGTGGATTCGGAGGGTGATTTCTACGAGGGTCAGCAGCAGCTCCAACACCACCATCCCCATTTGCGGGCCAATAGAGGCTCCTCCCGATCCAATAGCAAAGTGTCCTCGCCGAGATCCTCAAAGCTAATGGTGGACAAGGCAACGACAGCCATTTGGAGTGACATTAATAGAAAACCCGATACCAACCCAGCCAGCAGCTACAATCAGTATGATACAAACGGTGAAAGAGCTGGCAAAAGAAACAAGATCTCCAAGAAGATGCCGTCCAAAAAGGACTCTGTGGCCACCGAGCCACCGCTTGCTTAAAAAAAAAACTATCACCCTCTATAGAAACCAAAACTAGAACCAAAAAATACACAGCACACAATAATCGCAGACCATCAAAAAGACAAGAAATACTTTTATATTCCCCCGAATCAGGATGTAAAAAAAAATTGAAAGGTTGTGATCGGAAGTTTTTTGTAGTAGTTGCCGGACCCATTTAAACCGATTTAAATTTGACGTTGGATTACATATGCATAGTAGGAAATTAGATCATTTCGATTCACCATATGTGAAATGACCAAATAAATAACGACACATCATCTATCCCAATGCAAAGTCGGTCGCAAAAAAAAACACTAAAATCTGCTAAAATGCAAGAAACATTTTCAAGTGTTTGCGTACCACAACGACTAGACTCGTTTTCACAAGCTTCAAAGCAAGATAATTGCTAATAAATAAAGCCTGGAAGAAAGAACATCATTAAAAAATCGAAAAAAAAATTAACAAAATTCAAAAATGTAAAAAAAAATATATAAAGCAGTTTTGTACAAAGTAGGGAGCAGTACATTTCTAAATTCCTACTTTTTATACAGGTGTAGGTTTGTAGGTAACATAAAATCATAAAACACATAAACCCACAAAAAAAAACATAAAATAAATAAAATGTAAAACAAAAAAATACGACAAAATTTGTAACAAACCAGTGAAAAATGTAAAAACCGCGCAAATCTTCACAAAAAAGCTCACGAGTTAAACGGTTGGGTGGAAAAACTCAGCCAAGAACTTGATTTAACCTGATGATAGCGCCAAAAAAATTATAAAAATAAAACCCCAAACACAATAATATTGTTAATTTATGGAAAGGGACTTAAACTTGAAATTGTATTTATTTGGACCCTGAAGAACTGTTTTTATTATGAATGTTTTCCACAATGCTGAATATTTCCGTACATGTGTGCATAAATCAACCCAATGAAATCATCCATCATCAGGCCATTAAAACCCGAATCTGATCCCAGTCTGCATGCCTTCATTTCAACACTTGGACTCTCTGGGGTCTCTCGAACTATAGGCGAATGAAATTATTTAGGATGCTCAATTTGATATTCCGCTCTGATTAATTCTTAGTGGTTGCCGTCATCATCGAATATCACCCTTGGGACAGGCGCTCTCCGGATGGCCGAAATTCTCGCACATGTTTCAGTTTGGCAATTATCTAAGGAAATCAAATCAAATCATTGATGCAGCTGTTACGCAATAGAGGATTGGATGGTGGTAGCTGATGGACAATGCCAATCCAGTTCGAAAGGGGGCGTGGCGACAGTCCAGGCATTTTCCATCCAAAACTCTGTTACCATCTCCCTCTGCATCTGTTTCGGTTTGGTTCGATGGTATCGATGGCAACCAAAAATGTCAGTGCAGCAAATTATTTCATCAATTGCAATGCTCGATTTCAGGAGGTTCACAATCGATGGCTGTGCGTTTTTGGGGTTGCATGTCCTGACGTCGTCCCGTCCCTGTGTATTGGGTAATTGATATAATGCCGATGGTTCCTGTCGTCGCCCACCTAATGGCGAAAATTGTCAACGGGATTTGGTTTGGGATTTGGATTTTCGATTGCAATTGGGTGGGTGACAATGTGGATGTGGATGGTTTGGCTGTAATGCAATATCGAATGGCAGCGCTATATCAGCGCTCCATAATCATCATCATCATTAACGCAGCCGAACAATTGTCACACTAATTTGTGCATATGTGCAAAAATGTTTGGCAATTAAACGGCGCAGCCAAGTCCCTCAGCCATTTTTCATTCTCCTCTGCCAAGTAATTAATGTCTTTTGTTAATGGTAATGCATTTGCATTCGGAATTGGAATTATACCCCAATCCGATCCAATCCAAACCGTGGGCTAAGACAATTTGCACAACAAAGGGCGCTGGTCGGTGGAATGCTAGAGATGAACTTCATTAAAATTTTGCACGGAACGGAAAAATTTGTGAAATTTGTTAAAAGGCGGAGGGGCGGAGGTTGGTGGTGAATTGAGGGAAAAATAGAGAGCAGCAGCTGCTGCATTAAAATTCCTGTCCGGGATTTGGTCTTTGGTCTTGAATAATTATTCATTGTCATTGTAATTGGCGTGCCAGGCGCTAAATGGAATCATAAAGAGGGGGGATGGGGCGAAAACTCTGGTTGACAATTTTCATTTTTCCACCAGAGCCAGCAAATTGAAGTTGCTCGATTACTTGGACACTTTTCTTTTTTCCTCTTTTTTTTTGTATTTTTTCCTCCCACATGAGAGGTTTTCCTTTTTGTCTGCCTCTGTGCTGGAGAAAGAGCGATTACTCCCCATGGATCTCGGGATTGGGATTGGGTTTTCGGTCTTGGCTTTTATATTGTTTGGGACACGTACGGGAATTTTCATTCGATGTCATTTCAATTTTCCTGTGCTCTTTTTTTATGGACGCACAGAGACAAAAAGGGTTTGGATTGGAAAAGATGCAGCGAACACAAGGATCCGACATGGGATTGCGTTTCTATGTCTCTGGGCCTTTGTTTCCCCGTTGGTCACTGAGCAACAAATTACCTGAGGCAGGTGGACAACTGCAGAACCGGAGGATAAGAGAGTGAACAACCGAACGAATGAATGAATAAATGAATGAGTGCCTCAATGGGCAAATGGGGAATGTGTGTGAGTCCAAGGTTGAGTGGCTTCTGATTGCGTTGGAGGCGGTTCATTTTTTTTAATGAACTTTAAATGCCCTTAATGCCATTTTAGTTTTTCAACAACAGCTTACTAAATTATACTCTCTATTTGTTCTTTTAATTGCAGGTAAGCTCATTACGACAAACCTTTTTAACACACCACAAAAGCAGCATCAACAGCAGCAGCAGCAACAACAATAATAAATAATGTTAGCGTAAGTGCTTGTCTACAATTTTAATTAGTTTTAAATGCAATTTAATGCATTTGTTTTCCCCGCTTTTTTTTGGTTTTGTTTTGTTTTTGGAGCCATGTTTTGGTTTGCCTAATGCTAAAGCACTTAGCATAATTCAGAGACAGAGAGCTGAATTTAAATTTGAAAACAATAAATCATTTCAACTTTGTGATAAATGCCGTGCATAATACAATGTAGATTAGTGTGGGCGAATTGCTCACATGTGTGTACATTCCCGCACAATTAGAAATTCATTAAATATTTAAAATTCTGCGTCACATTGTGGAAATGTTTTCCGTGGTTAAAACAAACATTTCGCTGTTGTGTTTGCCTACACTTGATTTTATTTACTCTGTACACGGAATGAATAGGATCTTAAACTTGAAACAAAAGAGTATTGAAGATAAAAATTATTACAATTGCGCCTGTGGACATAAATTTTAAAAAGTATATTTTTATTAACGCTTTTACTTAGAATTTTTCATTTGCGACACTTTATTTTACGATCAACCATAAAACGTTTCCTAAGCACAGAATTTCTTCCACTAGTTTTATGACTCATTTAGAGTTTGTTTTTCGGTTTCCGCCCTTTGCATTTAAAACAACTCAATTTCTGTAAGAGCCACGCCCTTCAGATAGTTAAACGCCTTGGCTATAACAACGAGCAGCGAACAAAAATCAATCAATGTAAAAAGCGGGGAAAGTTGCCTTACCATAAAGCTTTAAGGCGTGTTTGAACAGTCGCTGCCACGCCCACTGCCGCCGCCTTTTCCGCCGATTCGGCAATCAAGCTCATTTATTATGCATTTTTCATATGACGGCTTTTCTTTTTTTTTTTTTTTCGCCGAATTCTGGGCAGACAATTTAAAATCAACCGCAGAAAAAGCTGCATGTCCTGCCTCCTCAGGCTGGAAAATGGTGAAATATCCTGAGTGTGCGAAAGAGAAAGGGCAGCGGAAAGGGGTAAGAGCGAGACGGGGGCACACGCATGCCAGTGTTGCCTTTGTGTGACAAGAGTGACAACCGATGGAAACAAAATCGATCGCAAAAATCCACGCACACACAAATTACCCGCATTTTTTGTTTATATGAAAATTGAAATTCATGCAGAGCACAGCCCTTCATCATCCGTGTCCATATCCATATCCATATCTGCCCGAATATATCTAGCTGCAATCCATATCCCTGTCGTATCGCTGTCATCGATGGCCCCCTAACAATCTATCGATAAAGATTTCTTTTTACCACAGTTGAGGGCGAAAAAATATAACTAAGGTTGTCTTTCTCGTTTATAACAAATTTTGCCAGAGCTTGAAAAATATATACTTAAAGAGTTAAAAACTCTAAATTAATTGATGAAAGTTTCCAGGACAATATATATATTTTTTTTCAAATTAAATACAAATTATTTGTAAAAATAAAATAGAAGCCTTTTGACAGTCTTCAAAGCTTGAAGCTCAACAAATATTTCTTTTAAAATTAAATGACTTAAATTAAACATAAATCAAACTAGTCGTCAACTAGTTGTGCTATTATTTCGACTGACACTGTAGTTCGTTACATAAATTGTTTATTTCTTTTTTTGGAAACGTTGAAGAGTTACAAAAAGAGTTTTGGCGAGGGTCGCTGGTTTACCTGGCCCCCGAGGGTTGCCACATGCACATTTGCATATCGTTTCAAGTGCGAGCCAAGTAAAAAGGGGTCGTACTTTTTAGTGAAGGGGTGCGGGGGCTGAGGTTGAGTAGGCGTGGCACTGCTTATCGCCGCCACACTTGCCGCGAACGGGGGCAAGTATTTCCGTTGCCTGGGCACGCTTGTTAGTCGAGGAGCCGCCGGAAAAAAGGGGAAAAGGCTTGGGGAAATGGGAAAATGAGGGGGTGGAGTGGCGGAGTTGCAAGTGTCAGCTCTGCGGCGGAGTTCAAGTCGAAGTTGCCGGTTGTCGCTTAACGATTTCGTGTCATTTTTTGCATTTCCTTCTTGTGCCCGGCTTTCAGTTTTATTTTCCACTCCACCTCCAAGGATATTCCTCCTGCGGTTTTCCGCTTTCGAGTGTGCGGCGGCGGCCAGTCTTATCGCGTGCTACCTGTGTGGCACCTTCAGACAGCCACAGACCGGGGGAGAGTGATAAAAATTAAAGCAAAAAGTAACAAAAAAGCTGAAAAATA